AGTTTGAGGTAGCTTGCTCTTAGACAGTGTCTCTTTAAAGAGGCTCAGGCCCAAAAGCTGTGAAGCATAGGACTCAATTAACTCTCTCTCCAGCTTTTAGCAAGGGGGCATCGACTCAAACAGCTGGTTGACCCCGCTCTAAACTCTGGACACTTTCCTGGTCAGCGCACATGTAGAAACCCCAACAGCAACTTTGTGTTCTGTCACCTGAAGCGGTCACAACCTCTCAAACAATACCCACAAATCCCAGTGTCCTCCTGTCTCCAGTGATGAGACCGGGCGTTGAAAGATTGTCTTAAAGATAGAGAGATAACACAAAGCGCCTCCCGACTAATCTCTCCTCTTTTTGAAGAAAAGAAACGGAGGCTTCACGCACCCCTGCAGGCTACAATCAAAGGGACCCTTAGCTTAGCATTAGCGAGTGAAGCGGCAGGGATTTAGCCCTGATTGACTGAGTGGGAACGGGCAAAGAATGGCTCAGCAGGTAGCAGCTAGTCCGGCTCGGTTAACGCCATGCTACGCTAATCCAGCTGCTGGAGAAGAGTGGCTGTGGGGCAAAGAGGCTGACTTTATTACGCCTCCAAGAGAGGGTTTTCCCAGTGTTTTAGGGGGATTGTGGATTTCCTTCTCTGTTTGTATGTGTGAGCATGTCGGGTGGTTGGTGGAATGCCTGTTTTTGTTGGAGGACGGACTTCTTCCTCACTGCGGTGTATGTGGATAGGCACTGATTTGATTTCTAGTGTGGTGAACACATGTGGGAGTTTGTTTATGTGAGTGTTCTTTTGTATGTAGGATCCCCTGATGTATTTATGACTGTGGCATTGGAATCCACCCCTTTCAAATATGCTTTTAGATCTGCGCGCAGGGGGGGATCGCTTTACCCCTGCAGACTATAAGTGTGTAATTATCTGATTTATATTGGGTATGAATTTACCCATCTGTCTCCAATGGGTCTTTTTACACCATAACAAGACAGACAGACACACACATTCACACACACCACCCACTCTACCACCCAAACCACCAACCCTCCGGCCCCAATACCATTCGCCTCCCACTGCAGAACACACGGCAGCCTCATTGATTGACAGGTTATTTGGCCCAATCGGTGTCGCGACTGTCTGCGCCGCACCTCTCAGAGAATTGTTCTTTTGTCCTCCTCTTCTGGTTCAGCGCTCAGGGGGTGAAATCTAACCCCGCTAGGCTTCCCCGGCCATTATAGAAACGGATAGATGAGGGAGAAACTCCTTGAAACACGAGCCCTCCAATCAAACTGTCACTCAAAAGAAAGGCGAGCACTGTCGCCAAAAGTAGGAAAAGTGTCACTTAGGTTACCATTTCAGACTGAGGTGTGTGTGTGTGTAGGTATGTATGTGTAGGTGTTAGGCCCCACAGAGTGAAAACAGCCTTGTGAGAGTGGCAGAGCTCCCGGTGTGCCATGTGTGGTGGCATTTGTTTGTTAAATGGTCTGAAATGCCAATGACTCTGGTTTCATTGCGGCTCCAAAATCTTGCCAATAGAGCATAGCTTAAATTTGTGAGAAAGACAAGAGGTAGTTATTTGATCTGCTCTTTTTGTCAGAGGAAATAGCGCCCTTTACTCCCGTTCTGTTGATTTTGATAATAGAATGCAGGTTCGTGAGAAAGGAGAAAGCGAAATGGAAAATGAAGACAAAGGGAGGGAGGATTGGGGGAAAGAAGTAGAAGCCTCCGGGCAACATATTGTTTTCTTGTTGCTAATTGGGGGAAAATGGGCAAGATCACAGAGTTCTCTTCTTCTTTTCCATTGGAAAACAATTATTTGATGTCAAGTGCAAGGCTATGGCAACATCCCCTTATTACTAAAACCTTAGACAGCCACTTATATCAACTTCATTTGTGGTACTTATTCTGGATGTAGCTTCCAATCTAATTTCTGGGGTTTTTCTGGACTTTTCTGTTACTTTCCCGACTAAAATACCTTGAGAGCTACTGATATCTTGACACCAACATTTAATAAGACACTCATGGTTCCTAGAAAATGTATCCTATGGATTTGGTGATCCCCTAGACATTTTTTCTAGTACCATCATGAGGTTCACATTTTTGGTTTTGTGTGAAACTATTTGATGGATTACGATGACATTTGGTACAGACATTCCCTGCAATATGAACGGTAATTACTTTGCCATCAAGTTTGCAGACTCAGTCTTATCTCTCAAACCTTCCCCTCCAAAAGTGCTTTACGTGATGTACTTGTATTTGAGGCCAAAGCAATACCCAGCTGATGTTGATGTCACATCTAACCAAACCTCTTCTCCTCTGTGTCCATGTTATCTTTCAGCCTGTAAGATTGGCTACTACCGTGCTCTGGCCACTGATGGCTCCTGTTCCAAGTGTCCGCTCCACAGCTACTCCGTCAGGGAGGGATCCACCTCCTGCGTCTGCGACAAGGCATACTTCCGCTCTGAAACTGATCCTGCATCCATGCCATGCAGCCGTAAGTACACCCAGAAGTAATGTATACAATACATCTTAATATTTGAATACATAATTTGACCTGTAAGCCATGAAGGGCTGTGATTTACAGTGATTTGTCAGCAGCTTTACGTATCTTGCTAAGCATGCTGCTGTATACAGTATTGTATTCCCAATACTGTTATGGAAAAAGAACACTTAACACATAAACGGAGTGATTGCTTTTGCCTAAACATGGGCATGGATTCTGTCTCTCTCTCTTATGCAATGTCAACCTGAATTTCCCCCTCACACACTGAGACTCTTTTCTGCACACACATAAAGCAGGCGGCTGCTGGTTTAATAGGTGTCTTTTGATTCCAGGTGGTACTTAGTGATCAGTCATGGTGACAGGGAACTAATGAGGGTATAAACCGCTGCATCCCAGATTCAGTCTTCCACAGAGAGACTGTAGATCAGCAGAGCAGGGGAGAGAACGATAGAGAAAGACAAATAGAGATAAAATGTTAGCGGAGATGCAGGGAGGCGACGAAAAAGGTGGAAAAACAAGGGCAGACGGAAAGCTGGAGATGTATGCAGGGAATGAATGAGATGTTGCGATAGAGGAAGGGGGTAAAGTGCCAAGGAGAAAGAAAATACAGGAATGCATTGAGCTGAAGGAAGTTGAGTTTTTCATGTCTCAGTGTGTGTCCCCACTTTTGCTTCATCCAGCTGTATGAGTCAACCGCTGGTGAATCCGGTCCTCCCGTTCTTACCCCTGACTCACCAGAACTGTGATAACAAATATTGTTCACAATCCTGCTGCCTAATGATACCTCTTCTGTTTTTAGACCTAATTCTCTCTCTGAGTCATGGAGCTGGGAGTTCATACTGGTAGAAATATACACAGAGAACACACAAAGCCCTACACTCTCATTTCCCAGGAAAATAACAGCGCTGATTCTTATATATGACAGGCGTTTGTGTATGAGTGAGTATGTGTCATAAAACTGTTTTAACAACCAAAACATCTGGTAAGTTGTTTAGCTCATAGTTGGCTTGCCATTTGGCCCGAATGATCTGTCAAGTTCCTGTGGATTCATCACTCACCAAAACAGTTTATTGAATCAGACTAGCGGCCGAACCCCTTCTGCGTAACAGTTAACTATCTGAGCGGCCTCTAATTATTCCCCTGCTGTAAACAAAGCTCTATTGTGGCCTATTTTCATCATCAAGAATGTGTTGTTATTCCTGAATTAGATGGTAATCTGAAACATCCTTGATTGCTACATTTTGGCTACATCCTTGCTGAGCGGTTTTTGCTTTTCCAAGTGTCACTAAAGTCCAAAAGACTTTACTTGGACCAGCAAAAAGAAAAGCTTTCGTAACATTCCCAGTCCTAACCCATTGGCAATAGAAAGAAAATGTCCCAGGAACACAGTGGAACAGCAACATTGCTGAGTTGTAACGATTAGGCAATTATTTTGATAGTTGATTAATCATTTAAGTCCATTTTCAAGCAAGAATGCCAAATATTTAATGGTTCTGGCCTTTCAAATTTAAAGTCCTTTTGACATTAGAAGGATGTTTTCACATTTATCTGCTGAAAGTGGAAAGTTTCTCTGAGCTCATTGAAAATCTGATTTTAAGGGGCTAGCATGATTTGTGACATCACAAATAGTTTGGAAGTCAGTCCTGGTCCCAGCATGCAGCTTTTACAGTGTGATGTAGAAACGTGAAGCCTCCAGTGCA